CACCGATAAGAAAGAAAGGGGACACCTCAACGAAGAAACGTGAAATTGGGAGTGATGGGGTTATGGGACCAGGCCCAGAGCCTAATCGGCCCAGGCCCCGAACTTGGACCAGCGGGCCCAAGCCCAGCAACCTAGAGCTCGAGTCGTCCCAACCAATCAGGGCAATCAAGGAGCGGAAGCCCAAGAGAGACTGTCGACCAGCCCAGCGGGGAGCCTGCCTTCCAGCCCAGTGGGGAGCCTGCCTTCCAGCCCAGTGGGGAGCCTGTTTTCCAGCCTAGCCAGGAGCCTGCCGACCACCAGCCCCGCTGGGAGCCTGCGATCCAGCCCAACTGGGAGCCTGCGGTCCAGCCCAGGTGGGAGCCTGCCTCCAGCTCAATGGGGAGCCTGCCTTCCAACCTACCCGGGAGCCTGCCTTCCAGCCTACCCGGGAGCCTGCCTCCAGCCTGGTCAGAAGCCTTCCTCCAGCCTAGCGGGAAGCCCACCGTCCAGTCCAACAGGAGGGAGCTCAAGCGTCCAGCCTGCCAGCCAGGCTGACCTGCCAGCCAGGCTGACCTGCCAGCCAGGAAGAGTAACGGCCAACAATCAATGCGCGACTTAGTTATGTGTTTAATTCTGTATTAATGTTGTAATTAATTTAGTCATCATTATGTTCGGCAGTTACCATTTGTAATCGCCTATAAAAGGCAATTCGAATTTCAAATACAAATATGTTATTTCTGGCTAACTTTCCATATTCGTACTTTCCTAATTCTTGCTTGAGTGTCGTATGTAGCTTTCCTAAAAGCCTACGAGCGTCCTATTTTGGACCAACAGGGAGGTTCAGCGACGACGAGGAATTCGAGGATCCCCAGCTGAAGAAGCGCCACCTACGCTGAATCATGTTCTTCACCCTCGGCCTCGGTCTCAGCCTCGAGCCCTCGACCTCGAGGCACATTATCATCCCATCGGCCTCAAGCCACTTATCTTAACAAAGCCTTTGTCAAAACAACGCACACCTTGTATTCCGCTTATTTCTATGAATTTAAGTAAACTACCACATAACCCAAACATCTTATCGGCCCCTTCAAGGCCAAATGCCCAGGTATGGCCGATGATGTCTAAAGATGAGGGGCCTGCAAAAGGCCCGCGTTTTTGGAGCAGGACGCTCACCACGTCACCGGCGCGCAACGCACGGCGACAAGCCTGAAAGAATGGCTGAGGTGACGAAATCCCCACACTTGGGGGGTGAAACGGCAGTCGTCAGAAACCGACCAAGCCTAGCCCGCGACGTAAATAGACGACGGGACCCCCCAAGGAAAAGGGACGGTTCAACGTCGGGGGACTAACAGACGAACCCTCGGACGGATCACTTGGACCCCCTTTTTGCCGAGGCGAGGAAGTAACCCCCTCGGCCGAACCCTGAAAGATGGAACACACATCAGGAGGACTAACATACGACCTCCTGACACAATCAAGGGACAGCCCAACGTCGAGGGACTAACAGACGAACCCCCAGACGGATCACTTGGACCCCTTTTCGGCTGATGCGGGGAAGCAACCCTCTCGGCCGTAGCCTGAAAGAAGGAACATACACTCGGAGGTCTAACACGCAGCCTCCCGGAACTATCAAGGAACAACCCTCGGCCTCAACATGAGTCTACATTACAAAACGGCCCTCGGCCTCAACCTGATTATACATCACGAACGGCCCTCGGCCTCAACTTGATTCTACATCACCAACGGCCCTCGGCCTCAGCGTGATTCCACATCACAACGTCCCTCAGCCTCAACATCACAACGGCCCTCGACCTCAGCATGACTCTACGTCACAACGGTTTTGGCCTTAGCGTGATTTCACATCACAAACGGCCCTCGGCCTCAGCGTGACTCTACATCACGAACGACCCTCGACCTCAACGTGAATCTACATTACCAATGGCCCTCGGCCTCAGCGTGATTCCACATCACAACGGCCCTTGGCCTCAACGTCACAAACAACCCTCGGCCTCAGCGTGACTCTACATCACGAACGACCCTCGACCTCAACGTGATTCTACATCACGAACGACCCTCGACCTCAACGTGATTCTACATCACAACGGCCCTCGGCCTCAACGTCACAATGGCCCTCGGCCTCAGCGGGACTCTACATCACGAACGGCCCTCGACCTCAACGTGATTCTACATCACAACGGCCCTCGACCTCAACATCACAACGGCCCTCGGCCTCAGCGTGACTCTACATCACGAACGGCCCCCGACCTCAACGTGATTCTACATCACAACGGCCCTCGGCCTCAACGTCACAATGCCCCTCGACCTCAGCGAGACTCTACATCACGAACGGCCCTCGACCTCAACGTGATTCTACATCACAACGGCCTTCGGTCTCAACATCACAACGGCCCTCGTCCTCAGCGTGGCTCTACGTCACAACAGTTTTGGCCTTAGCATGATTTCACATCACGAACGACCCTTGGCCTCAGCAAGACTCTACATCACGAACAACTGTCGACCTCAACGTGATTCTACATCACCAACGGCCCTCGGCCTCAGCGTGACTCCACATCACAATGGCCCTCGGCCTCAGCATGACTCTACGTCACAACATTTTTGGCCTTAGCATGATTTCACATCACGAACGGCCCTCGGCCTCAGCGTGACTCTACATCACGAACGACCCTCGACCTAAACGTGATTCTACATCACCAACGGCCCTCGGCCTCAGCATGATTCCGCATCATAACGGCCCTCAGCCTTAAATCTCTCCGACATCAAATATTTGATGTTGGGGGCCATCATACAAGCCCCTCGGCCTTCGCCACTTCGGCATCTTTATTTGACGTCGGGGCTATCATACAGGCCCTCGACCTTCATCCCTCCAACATCTTTATTTGATGCCAGGGGCTATCATACAGGCCCTCGGCCTTCATCCCTACGACATCTTTATTTGATGCCAGGGGCTATCATACAGGCCCATCGGCCTTCATCCCTCCGGCATCTTTATTTGATGTCGGGGGCCATCACACAGGCCCTTCGGCCTAGCCTTGATCTCTCCGGCATCTTTATTTGATGCCAGGGGCTATCATACAGGCCCATCGACCTTCATCCCTCCGACATCTTTATTTGATGTCGGGGGCCATCACACAGGCCCCTCGGCCTAGCCTTCATCCCTCCGGCATCTTTATTTGATGCCAAGGGCTATCATACAGGCCCATCGGCCTTCATCCCTTTGGCATCTTTATTTGATGTCGGGGGCCATCACACAGGCCCCTCGGCCTTCATCCCTCCGGCATCTTTATGTGATGTCAGGGGCTATCATACAGGCCCCTCGGCCTCCATCCCTCAGGCATCTGTATTTGATGTCAGGGGCTCTCACACAGGCCCACCTGGCCTTGCACCCCTCCGTCACCTTTATTTGATAACGGGGGGGGGGGGGGGGGGGGGGGGGGGGGTCCTTACAGGCTCCTCAGCTTTTTCATGCAGGATCTAAGGCTGGTCTTGGATATCCCCTCAGCAGACGGACACATGTGGCCCTTCGGCCACACGATGCCTTCAGCCACCCGATTCCTTCGGCCCCCCGATGCCTTCGGCCACATGGTGCCTTCGGCCATACAATGCCTTCGGCCACCCGCTGCCTTCGGCCACCTGATGCCTTCACCCCCCGATGCCTTCGGCCACATGATGCCTTCGGCCACATGATGCCTTCGGCCACACGATGCCTTCGGCCACACGATACCTTCGGCAACAGAACTATCGACAAAGATTCCTTTCAGAGACAGTCAACCACCGCATTTAATACGACGTCACATCCACCCACCGCATTTAATGCGGTGCACATGCATATGTCGGTGCCACCCCGATTGAGGTGACCCATCGGCCGTTAGATTGTTGACATGTGTACTCTCATCGCATTTATAGCTGCTATAAATAGCAGCCCTTATTCACCTTGTAAAAAAGGAACGAGTTCATTTAATACATTTGACTCTCTTTCTTACTTACTTGCTCTGACTTCTCTCTAGGTTCACCGTAATAACCCCTCGGATAAGCTACCCCCCGGGTACACTATCCATCATCAACTAATCATTTACTTTAACCGCAAACAATCGACAAATAACAACAATGCAACAATTCAAACATTAAATCTGAAAATATGAAAATAAACAAACTAGAACAATTCGACTATTAAACAATTCAACAATTCAACAACTCATTAATTCAACAATTCACAATAATTTGCAAACTAAACAAATCAGAAAAGCTGAAAATCAGAAACTGGCCGAACTATGGAGCATTGGAGGCGAACTGGCAGAGTGCGGTGGGCAGCGCGATGGGAGGTGGCGGGTCTGGCATTGGTGCTAGGCTTCGTTGGTCCTCCTTCGTTGGTGCGACTTGCGAGTCTAAGGAGACTTCCATCTGTCGTTCCAGTCTCCAAGCGGCCTTCTGATTTCTCATTCCAATTGCTGAATTGCGCAGGTATGGCCGTATGGGTCGCGGATGGCTTGAAGTTGGGCGCCAGAAGGTTTGTAAATTTGGGCTGAAGTAATACTAATAGTTTTTTTGGACCCTTCAAAATTTTGGGCCCCGTGCAGTTGGACTGGGCAGCCATGCCCTGACCGACCCTACTGCCAACTTTTACTATTAAACATTTTCCAAAATCACTTTAAAAAGTTCAAAAGCACTTATGAGTAATGTTTGCAAACAAAGCCTTTATATTTAATGTAGCAGAACTCGACAATGCTCAAATTTGATTATGATACAACAACATCCAAGTCTTTTAGTTCCAAAAGATATTGGGTTCGGCTAACATGAATTGATACATGATATCACCACCAAAAGGAAAAGAAAGAAAATAAAAATAAAAAAGATAAGCTATTATAAAAAGATAATATAAAAAGAGATGAATATACATAAAAATGATAAAATAAAAAGGATACAAAAATAATTAATAACACTGTATTCTCAGAGTCTGTTTGGTAAGAATCAAGAACCTAGAAGTAACAGGAAAGAAAGATACGGTATGCTCAAAGTTTCTCTTTAACACTTCAATAGAGTAAATGAAAAAAGTTTTCTTATTTAAATATTATTGAAATATAACTCACAGGAAAAAATATTAGTAAACTTACTACTTCGTATATATTAGTAATAATATACGAAGTACTATCTTATAATCTTTGGAAGTTGTTTTTGCTACCAAATGTTTAACAGGCAAATGTATAACTAATTAACTACTCTTTGTTAAACAGCTCCCGCCCAATGATCATTCTTCTTATCTCACTGGTGCCTGCCCCTATTTCATACAGTTTTGCATCCCGAAGGAAACGCCCGGTTGGATACTCATTCACATACCCATTACCCCCAAGACACTGTATTGCCTGCAAACAAACACGGAATAAGCTTAATCCAAACTAAGCATGACATTCTTACGCGTAATATACTGTATAAAGCACCCACTGGGAATTCCTAATTCTTACCTGAAGAGCAACTTGAGTGGCTCTTTCAGCTGCACATAGAATCACACCTGCACAATCCTGGATACCATTCATATATCACATTAAAATTAACGAACAAATTTATGGCCCGTTTGGTCGAAGAACGTTTTTCTGATTTTCAGCCTTATAGGGCCAGATTCCAATCAAGCTATGCATGCCTTGAGTTAGTTCAATATGTTGGTTGAACACTTGAACCGGCTTATAATACAAAAAGATAGTGTAGGCACTTTTTTGGCTGAACTGAAGGGAAATGATTTGATCAACCTTCATTTTTCATTTGGTTCTAGTTCATTTTTTGTACAAATAAATTAGAACCAAATGAACGATTTTTATAAAATCATCCCAAACCTTCAAATATTTGATAAAAAGGGACATGTAATAACATAATGACGGACCACTACTAAGAATTCCAAATAATAATATAACAACAACAGACTAAATGGTAATAGAACAAAGGGTCTAACCTTTGGATCAACCTTCCCATTGTCACAGTCCCTAGCAACAGAATAGACATATGACCTACACAATTATACAATTAGAGAGAATTGAAGTTAATTTAAGAGCTGAGTCTATCTTTCTCCTATATACAAAATTATTTAGATGAAATTAGCAAGAGTAGTAGTAAGAACTATATTACCTTGAGGACTGTAGGGCAGTATACATGTCAGCAATTTTCCCCTGTATAAATTGATGTTCACCGATAGGCTTGCCGAATTGCTCCCTCTGGCGGACATATGGAAGTGCCACATCAAGACAAGCCTGCATGATCCCAATAGGCCCAGCTGCTAGCACAAGTCTTTCCAAATCTAGACCCGACATCATAACATAAACTCCTGAAGAAGTACAAAAGCCATGCCGTTAAACAACAAGTCCACATTACTTGGGATTTCGGGAGGGGGTGGGGGGGGGGGGGGGGGGGGCATTCTTCAACAGAAGAAGCTATTTTTTGATTCGATGCAATTTTTCTACATTCAAAAAGGTGTTTCCAAGAAGTTAACTATGCTATATGATATATAATAGTTTGTACTCGCCGAAAGTCCAAAACTAAAATGCTGTACCTTGAAACTAAATCTTTCTCGGGATTGATGTAATATTTTATATTCTAAAAATAAGAAATAGAGATAATATAAATAAAAATCAAGCTTCCCCTCCAAATCTCCAACCAAACAAGCCCTAAAGAAGCTTCATTTCCATGTACTCCAATGTGTATGTATATCAAATATGCACCCTGTGTTTAACTTCCCCAGAGCTATATGTTTCTAAATGTGACACTAACTAATCTCAGGCACATTTTGAATTGTATTTTGTTATAGCAGTTCACATTTCCCTATCAATTGAGGTATGATCTAAGTAAATGCTAATGAAACCTGAATGAAATATCTCTTTGTCCCAATAATACAGTCCTGTTTGGTCAAGGTAAAACTTTTGGAAAGTTCCATTTGATGAAATATGACCCTTTTTAACAAAAAGATATTTTAAAAGAAGACCCCTATTATAGAAGGGAGGGAGTACTTTTTAACATTAAACTAAAATGAAACTTAGTTGGAATGGACAATACCTTTCCCTTCCTGCCCCAGCACATTCTCTTTAGGAACGAAGCAATTTTCAAACACAAGTTCACATCTGCAAGGTTCATGGTCCAAATATCAGTCCATTTTTCAATTTGCACTCAGATTGAATAAAAGCATATTCACTGGTTAAGGGAAAAGACACATACGTATCGCTTCCTCTCATTCCAAGCTTGTCTAGTTTCTGGGCAGTACTGAAACTGCAAAGAACAAGAAAAAATGTGTAAAAATCAATCAACCAAAGAAGCAAAAAAAAGAAGCTCTTAGTGCATGGTATATTGGTATTAGGTATGACCCCATTAGATACATACACATTTACATTAAAATATGTAATGGAAAGAAAAGTCAAGGCTGTTCGTACTGAAACATAAGAATCACTATTTTGCTCTCTCATTTTTTCTTGGCTATGCATTTATTCTCTCAATTTAAATTTGGTGCAATTCGGTTACTCAATTATCTACAAAATTTAAATTCAGTCTTCACAGCATAATTGTGAAGTCATTCAACTTGATTGTCGTTTGCAATTTCATATAAGCATATGCATGTGAATGGTTTTCTTTTTATCTTCTCAACTGAAGCAGTGAAACAAATGGTCAAATGTAGTCCTTTCTTTTAACCAACGATGGCCCATATAACACTCCATTGAAATGATTTGTTATCAAAAAATAAAGTACATACCCTGCCATTCCCTTCTCAATGATAAAAGCAGTGATTCCTTTTGAGCGAGCAGCAATATCCGTTTTAGCGTAAACAACCTATCCATTGTAATTTACCAATGCTGTCAAAATGTAATTTGCAATACCGAAAGAATAACAAGATGAATATGACTATAGCGAAGCACCAGTAATACACTAATGCCATTGAAAGCTATTATTCATGTCAGAATAGATACTACCTTCATCCCATTTTATGGGTCTTACTTTCCCTTTTGGACTGTCAGAAAATAAATGTCCTTGTCCAATATTTGCAAGTATGTGGTTAAATATAATTTCACTTTATCCTACTCAAACCTCAACCACAACTTTTTACTTTTCAACCACTTTATAACTTTATAAATAATTGTGCCAAACCAAAACGAGACACACACAATGGAACGAAGGAAGTATTTAAGAACTATGCAGTCATATAGATATTACAGAAAAAACAGAGCATTATTGACTCATCAGATAAAACCATGTAAAAGATATACTTAAAATAATACAGCCACAAACCAAAGGTTAATTCATTAAACTAATTTAGACAACCTAAAGCAAGCCATTTTGAGGGATAAACCCAATAAATGGTGCTATGCCCAAAGATGTAGCCCAGTAGAGATCAAATTACTGCAATAATACCTGTCTCTCTCTTAATCTCTTTCTATGTCTGTATGTGTGTGTGCATATTGCTGACAATAGGTTCTATTGAGCTTCAAATCCGGAATAATGTAAGATAGCAATATTTATGTATGTTAGTAGTGAGGACTGAGGAATAATACCAGTGTTTGTGCCACAGGACCATTGGTACACCACATCTTATTCCCATTGAGAACATACCCCCCATCAACACGATCAGCTCTGCATTTCATGCTAACAACATCTGATCCAGCTGAAAAGGGCACCATAATTATTGGAAAACATTTCTTTTTCTCAAATAAAAGAAAACCTTGATCTGAGAAACCTCTGTTACAATTAAAAAATAGTTCAAATAGAGATAAATAATTGTTGAGTAAATGAAGTGTTAGGGAAAAGTACCATTGGGTTCACTCATAGCAAGAGCCCCAACATGCTCACCTTTAATCAGCTTCACCAAATCAAGATAGTGAAACACTTAGACCATGAACAAATTTTCACATCTTCACCAAATAAGTAATATCATTATTGACTTTTAATGAAAAACTAATTGCAATCATACAAGGAAAAGATGTTAGCCCAATAAATAGCAAACCATAATAAATATTTAATACAAGTATCAAACTAATTTAGCAAAAGTACATAGACATTTGATCATGAACTCTTAATTAGTAATGATCATAACATGCTTAACATTTATAACAGTCAAATAGACATACTTCCATTAATTCTTTTGGTTTCTTAGATTTCAGCTTTAGTTCTTTTCCAAAACATTCGTTAACCAATCAATATCAGAGTCATGATTTTCATTGTTTAACTATGTGGTTCAAACAGCAAGCTACATATCTCCATAAGTACGGTTAAACCACAATTAGTCTGCCTCTATTTCTGCAACTCCACAAAACAATCTAAATTTCATGAATCTAGTTTGCAAGTCACTAATTTCAAAAAGCCATTTAATAATTAGAGATATATCATATTCATGGATAAAAGTACAGGATGAACAGAAGACAAGTAAGAGCTTAAGAATCTAGCTGTCGAAACCTTTGGGAGATACTTTTGCTTCTGATCAGGATTTGCATTCCTTACCTACAAAATGTTATATATTAATAGAAGACTGGGAACATGATACAAATTGCTATGTAAAATAACAATTTGAGTTAATATTTTTTTACCAACTGATTAATGCACACATTAGAATGTACACCATATGAAACGCCAACCGATCCAGAGGCACGGCTAAGTTCTTCCATAGCCATACAATGATATAAATAACCAAGGCCGAGTCCTCCGTATTCCTCTACATAAAATATACGGAGCAGATGGTTAAAAACATGAAACTCCGCATTAATTCTATAATCACATTTGTTGAAAAAATGATGGTTAATCAGATGATATTAGATCATAACTGACAGATTTGAATAGGTAAAGGGATGGATATCAGTTAGGCAAGGCTCTCATACACATACAGTATACACCATAGAGATGCACATAAAATCACTACTGATGATAAATCGCTGATCTTAATACTGTATCTACTACCTAGTAAGCTATGGTTGGATAATATGTACTGCAAAAAAGCAATCTAAAGCAACATACTGTTAATGCAAAATAAATAAATAAAAGTAATGTGAAATTACAGTAGCAAGACATTAATTATACACTACCCCTATGCCAAATCTGTCATGTAACTCAATTCCTTCGGTCCTCATTCCCATACATATGGCGGATTCTAGAAGTTCCCCCAACAATTTGAGTGAAGTGTTAATAATTCAGCAATGAAAAGTTGTACCTGGAGCCGTAATTCCATGAAGGTTGAAATCACCCATCAATTTCCATAAATTTACATCCTGAAAATACAAAAAGATACATGCAATCAAAATGTAATCCCCCTAATCTATTTAAAAATTAGTCACTCATTAAAAAACCTGAGACAAATGTAACGTAAAGAGTTGTTCGAGAGAACAATTGGAAAGAGAGGAGGAGCGAGGGGAATCATTGCTTTTAAATCATTTTATGTTTCTTTCTTTGCATTGTTTAGGTTTTTGTATTCACTGGCAGAACCCGTCACTGGCAGAGCCCCGTCTGCCAGCAGGTATATCTTCTCCCCCATCTTTGGTCCGGAGGTTTTGATCCCGACCAAAACCTCCTCATTAATATTATTTTAATATTAATGATTTCTTTAGTCAAACTGATTATTGTTTGGTGAAGTTTTCTTTGATGTTTTCTGTTTAGTAAAGTTTTCTTTCTTGGTTGTTGTATTATCCTTTTCCCCTAGTCGGTGAAGCTGAATAATTTATTTATAAATGCAGCAATGCAACAAAGCTCTTATATTAGACTATGTTATTGTGAAGTTAAGGATCTGAAAAGATTTGTAGGATCTTATCGAGTGAAATGCATAAACGGTACTCCGTACATTATTAGTTATTGGTACCATTGCGTTTGTGCCTTAACATTTAAATAAATGAATCAAATCACTATCATAATTATACACAAATGTTTCAATTGACAATGTTACTCAATTTTTCAGCAAAAAAAATCACACTTGGCTACTGGAAGCGGAGCCACGACACTGGACTGGTGCAAAGATTTTTTTTTAAAAAAAATTCACACAAAAATTTGTACACTAAAATATACACATTGTTTTAGATTTTGGGTGGGTCGGGGCGTAGATTGATCCCCACTTCCCTAGCTACGCCCCTGCACGTCATCGCTATAAGGTGGACTCCACACATGTAATTTTAATCGTCATATGGATTTTTGACCGGATATTGAAATAATATTGTCAATCGAAACATTTATGTATAAACATTTGATATGCAATATATATTTAAATGTTAAGGTGTCAAAATACAACAATATCAATATATTTAAATCTTATCGTTCTTCATTTACTTGATTATTACTTGAAGACTACAAGGGAAAAATAAAAACAAAAACTGAGAATTGTGATTTTTTTTCAAACAACCTGCGGAAAACTATTAGCTTTATCGACATTTTGGGCGTGAGGAGCTACATGTTCTTGAGCAAACTGAGCAACACTTTCTTTGAACTGAAATCAGGAAAGAAATAAGTAAATATACAAGCTTCCATTGGAGCATGCAATGCTATAATCAGAAAGAAAGTGATGCAGAAATGACCTGTATCTGAGTATCATCAAAGAGCAGAGAAGAAGAGAAAGGAGCTGATAGCTGATGCCGGGTCCGATCTTTAATTAACGAAGAGGCGAAGGACCTGACAGCGAATAACTTGTGCATTTTCTTGGATTATTGCAATGGCAGAATAGAGAGAAATGAAGAAGTTCAGACTTGGAGGATATAATGTATCGTAGCCCAGGGAGAAGATGACCAAAATTTTACAGAGCACGTTACGTTGCATGCCAAGAAAATATACGTAAGGTTTAATAATTGTAGTAGTTGCATTGGGATGCTATACGCCACTTGAGGAGTTTTCAATATAATAGGGAGTATCTGCATAGGAATGATAAACAACAAAACAAAAACATTATCCTAGAGTGCAAAGTTAGGCTCCCACCTATGTGGGATAAAGCGGATGCAGTGACGGATCCAGAGATTTGTCAGAGTAGAGGTACACTAGTAGTGAAATTGTTGGCCGGAAGCGGGACACTAATTTTACTCTAAGTACTAGTAGTGAAATGACTGGCTGAAAGCGAGGGCACTTGCCCCCTAGGCCCCTCCCTAGATCCTCCACTGAACGGATGGATGTGTGCAGACTTACCTCTGTACTAACATATAGAAAGATTGTTTTCTGATGAATATCCAAAATTGCATGGAATGATATTGTGCAAAAATATTAATTGTTCAAATAACATGGATTTAAAAAAAATCATTCCATGCAATTTTCCATAACATGGGATCAGGGCCGGCCCTGGGGGTGTGCAGGGTGTCCAACTGCACAGGGCCCAAAAAATTGGAAGGGCCCAATTTTTTTTTGTAGTAGTATACTAGTATTACTTAGAGGTGGTTTCGGTTCGGTTTTGATATAAAACCAAATGAATTACAAAAAAATTGGACTAGGGCAAAGCTTTGAAGCAGGCCTGGTTCGTCACTTCACGTATTCCTCATCTGCAAAAAAGGAGCGTGTATATAGGAACGAAGGAGTAGTAAATCCTCTGTTTCCACCGGTGTGAGAATCTTAAGCTTTAGAAACAAAAAAGAAAAGAAGCGAGGCATGTGGGATTTGAACCCAGGTGAAAATAAAAGAATGCACGCTGATTTCCAAACATCAACCACCAGACCAAATCAACTAATTGTTGAAATACGGGCGTACGAGTTTTATATTACCTATTTGTTCTACAAAATAAATAATTAAAAATACCTCTTAATAAAAATCGGTTCGGTTTGAACCAATTTTATAACTAAAAAAACCTTCAATAAACCGATTTGTGTTTGAGTCCCGACTTTTGGGTCCCGTTTGAGTCGGTGCGGTTTCGGTTCGGTTTTTTTTAACTTGTGTTGAAACTTTGAAAAGAAGGCCCAATTATTATTTTTTGCACAGGACCTTCATTTCCTCAGGACCGGCCCCTGCATGGGATGATAATCATAATAATAACTTTATGATACTAATAAACACTCAATCACATAATAAATATTTAGATCATATCAGAAAGATTCATATCGCGGGATCATACCAGATCTTAAAAATTTCAAATCATAAATGTCATATCCGGCGAGTATCACAACTTTTTAATATCAACCATATTATGGAGTATAATTCTAGGAATAAATACCATATCAATTCCGTTTCTAAAATAATTATACAACATCAATTTTTTTAATTAATGAGACTCTAATACATGTAATATGACTCTAATCATAAATAAATAATCTTACACATTTAAGTGAGGATCTAATTCAAAACCAAATTTTTAAATAATGGAACTTTAGTTCACGTGAACGGGACTTTAATCGCACAACACCAATAATACACATGAATATCCAACATAATGTAAAATTGTAAGCTCCACATATTCCCAATTCCAATTCAACACTTCTTATAATCATTTTCATCATATACTTAGTCATATAAATAATTAATAACTATTACAATACTAAGCACATAAAGTACAATACAACAACAACATCCAAGCCTTAATCCCAAAAGATATTGGGGTCGGCTAACATGAATCGATACATGATATCACCACCAAAAGGAAAAGAAAGAAAATAAAGATAAAAAAGATAAGCTATGATAAAAAGATAATATAAAAAGAGATGAATATATACATAAATTACAATATAACCCCAAATTCATACTCCAAAAGATGGTGATTCATCACCCGTATTCCATGGTGGTGGTTAGTTCATGATATTACCTTCGTCCCTCTTTATTTAGCCATATTTGACTTTTCCAGTCAAAGATGATAAACTTTGATCTATTATTTTAACTAATATATTTATGTTAAACTTAATAAATTTATACATTTATGACCAGGAAGTTTTAACAAAGAACATTTTCATATCATTTCCATATTATCATTACTACTGTATATAAATATATAATCCGTTAAAGTTCAACATCATTGACTTAAAAAATAGTGTTTGGTTAAATATAAAGCGATAGAGGGAGTAAAAGAAACCGATTATAGCCAAAATTTTGATCATATCCCATGAATAGTTTACAATGTTTATCAGTATTTGTCACCTCACCCATATCAAATTAACACTACCGGGACATGCCCCGGGTGTTACACTAGTTTTGTTTAAATTCATGTTATTTGAACAATATTTTTGCACCACTATGACAAATATTATTTTGTTTGTGTTTGTTTATATACATACACACATGACACATTAGCATGCATGAATAATAGTATGGTCACATCTAATCACTTAACTTGACAATGCAATAAATGCTTCATATGTCTTGAATTGAAATGCAATTTGTGATTTTTAAGGTTGACTAACCATAAAGTAAAATACTTGTGAATAGTCTAATGAGTTTTAATAATCAAAATTTAAATATTCAGAAGCTACATTTAAAGTTTTACAAAATCGCAAAAACCAAATCAGAATATAATAAAAATTAATATGTTAAATAATTTGGAACCACGTTAATCAAGAAAAGTCTAATTTGCAAATCGTTTTAAATAAGAATATGTAAACAAGTTTTTGTCTTAATCAACGAGTAATTTTTCTCATATTGACATGTAGTTAAAGTTAAAACTATATATCTTTTCAAAAAAAAGAAGCAAAAATATGTTCGACGAATCAAGACGTTCTAGCCAGGTTGCAAACACCAGTGGAAACCGGTAATTTGCAGCACGTATTAAGTGGCAGTTTTATAATAACCGCCACAAATAAATAATTTGGAACTGCGTTAACCAAGAGAAGTCTAATTTGCAAATCATTTTGGGATGGAGGGGGTCTTAAATAAGAATAAAATTTAATAATATATAAAAATTATCATAAACTAAGAGTAGCTTTTCCTCATATCCTTGGTTAAAGTTAAAACTATATAGATAGTATATCTTTTTAAAAAAGGAAAAAAAATGTTCGGCAAATCAGGACGTCCTAGCTAGTCGGCCAACATGCAATTAGCCGCTCTGCGCGGGCAACTAGGCGCCAAACCAATTATTTGTGACGCCTAGACTAGAATCGGAGCACACATCCACCGCCTAGACTAGAATCGGAGAACTAGAGAACGGTTGGCTGAGTTTGAACGTCAAATGAATCGTTTCAACGCCATCTATCGCCCTCCCATGCACATTCAGCAACCCGAGATGACCCCTACTTTTACCTTTTATGAATTTTATCCTATTCACACAAACTAACATAGTACCAAAGAATCTAGGAAAACTACAAGAGTACGTTTGGTTCGAGTTCATATCTTATACATGTTAGAATCTGATGCCCGGGATGTGAAATACATCTGTTTGGTTCGTGAGTTTGAATTCTTTTTTGGAATGTTAGATTCCCAAAAAGTGAAAAGGTAATCACATGGCCCTTCATGTGAAACCCACTTAGGCCTTAGGTTTTGAAACATTCCCGATTAATCATTAATTTTATTCCAAAACACCCCTGCTTCATTAATAAGAGGAAAATTTTATACGAACAACTCTCTTCTTCCCCTAAACCCAACATAGCTCTCTTCATCCGTTGAAAGCAGCTCAGAACTCCATCTTCAAAATCAGGTAATTTCTTTCTCTATTTTTCAAGTTTTTGTATGTGTTCTTCTACTCCCTCTTTAAATCTTCTTTTGATTTTTCTTTAACCGCTTTTAATCTATTCTTTTTCTCCGTTTTTAT